CGAAATGAATTAGGATGTCATCTAATTATCAGCCAAATGAATTGTCATGTCATCTAATCATCAGCCAAATGAATTGGCATGTCATCTAATCATCAGCCCAATGAATTGTCATATCATCTGATCATCAGCCCAATGAATTGGCATGTCATCTAATCATCCGTCAAATGAACTGTCATGTCATCTAATCATCAGTCAAATGAATTGTCATGTCATCTAATCATCAGCCAAATGAATTGTCATGTCATTTAATCATCAGCCAAATGAATTGTCATGTCATCTAATCATCAGCCAAATGAATTGTCATGTCATCTAATCAGCAGCCAAATGAATTGTCATGTCATCTAATCATCAGCCCAATGAATTGTCATGTCATCTAATCATCAGCCAAATGAATTGTCATGTCATCTAATCAGCAGCCAAATGAATTGTCATGTCATCTAATCATCAGCCAAATGAATTGTCATGTCATCTAATCATCAGCCAAATGAATTGTCATGTCATTTAATCATCAGCGAAATGAATTGTCATGTCATCTAATCATCAGCCAAATTAATTGTCATGTCATCTAATCATCGGCCCAATGAATTGACACGTCATAATCATCAGTCAAATGAATTGTCATGATATCTGAGTTTTATTCCAATGAATTATAACATTTAACCCTCATCCCAATAAATTATCATGCAACTTGAGCATCTTTCTAATGAAGTGTAATGGCATCCTGGCGTGATATCACTGGCATGATATCAGATACCGGATAGATATCTTGTAATCTGTTCTTACCTATTGGATATTCACAGTTTTCTCCAGTGTAACCCATCGCACATATGCATCGCTTTGTGTGCCAGAGGCATGTGCCTCCATACCCACATCCACCGCAGCTGTCCTGTTGACCTGCAAGCATATCCGGATTAGAGAAATGACATTTTAATAATTATCTGTTCAATTCGCAACATATTTTCCAACAACACGGTGATTTTTAGCAAATATCAATCTGTGCGATGCAGTGATCATAAGTAACTACGTTGACCTTTTTGCACTGAATTCCAATTCATTGTAATGAATTGTAATATTTTTTTGAAGTTTGTTAGTTTATCTACATTCTGTTGTCAATCAACCAACTAAACAATTAGGTATGGTGAGAATTCAGACTAATCTCATTCATTATCAACCGTCAGTAAGACGTATATATAAATGGAAAACCAAAATGTTTGATGGAATGAGAATTGAATAAATCGATTAGGTAGCAGAAGATAGCACAGATTTCTACAATGTTCACCAATCTTCCAAAATCAAAGACCAGCCATTATACAATCTAGTGATAAAACTCGATCTGAATTTAAAAACACATGTTTACACATCCAGTGATTCCAGTGATTAGAAATTGCTTATCACATGTACTTGACTAGTGAAAATTGTAATTTATACCGTGTAGATGTCAGTACCGTATATAAGATTGTTTGACATATAGCAAGCTCGAAACGTCGTGAAAATATGACGATACATCCGAATATTCCTTGCTTAGCTGTGAACAACTTATATAACATTCGCACGCCAAGTCCAGATTTTATTTAGATTTCAGATTCTTTTTAATACATCGGATCAATGTCAACACTGATGTCAGAGGCTTTTCCGACCGCTCAGCGACCAATAAAGGCATTGCTGTTACGAATTCTGCTCCGGGTTCTCTCGAACCACAGTTAGCATGGGAAGCAACATGAATGAATGCCGCCTTAAAACAGAAGGATGGCGCCTAAAGGCTGTGCAGATGAAAAAAATGAAGAGCTGGAAATTTATCGCAGATCAGTCTTTCACATTGAAGTTTAATATCGTATTAAAGTTATTCTCGAATCTTCGATCATCGCGTACTCGGCATGATGCCACCCCAAGCCGATGGCAATTCAGTCACTAACGAATTGTTGGCTATGTTCAAAAACCATTTGACTCGGATAAATTGCAAATACCATTATGTCATATGTCAGTGGCTTGCAATACAATATACGATAACAAATAACAATTTACAGACACATAATATTATAAAGCCTAAAGAATTAATTCAAGTCAATATCATCTACACGTTTGAAGTTGTCTTACTATTCATGTAGTCATTTTTTTAAATAGATCAGAACGTACATTTTCTTGAAAAATATTAATCACACCCACGTCGTCCCTGGTGTCATTTAAAAGTGTTTACAATATTCAATCACGTCAAATGTTATGAAATGGTACTTTATGTGAAGATATGCGAGTGTGTACTTGATATCAACACTGTCTGTCGTCTCTAATCTCTTTCAAACAGAGTATGCACATTGTGGCAATGAACGATGTCAAGATCGATAGGTACTCTCGTTTGTAATCGTTCAATACAATTGACCTATGGTGAAAATATCACAAGATTGCAAGCGTTAACTGATTTTATCAGGTGATGTCATTGTCATGTAATCACTTTATTAATCTTTGTCTAGCATTATTTATATTTTTTATTTGTTTAACTTTTAAATTTTCAGTGGTACTTGAATAAAAAACAAAATATTTTCTTGATTTGTTTGACAAAGTATCGAAATAAATTTATTGCAACTGATTTTAACAGGTGACTTTATTATTTTGGCGTTACCAGTTTAAGAAGTTTGCTATATTTTTTTTACAGAATTTAGCTATTTTACTAATACTTTACTGCTTGTTCTGAAGATTAAGCAGCACGAGAACGAATATTTTTCAATGAATAAACTATTTAAATGTAGTTACTTGAACCAATGTCAAATAATTTCTACCATATTGTAGAACCTTTATGTGTGGTCGATTGGTATCTGAAACATGATCATTTAAATGGGCGTTCGTCTGTACTTTTCTAGTCGTCGCCGTTCCTCACAAAAATATACACAGTTATCAGCAGTTACTTCTCATTAGGAGAGCTGTTCTACTCATATCATGGTTGACAACTAATCGCTGCTTGATGCCGACAACAACGCCGCATTGGAAATATTACATTTTGTCACTTGGTGTGAATTTCAGCTTGATGTAATTACTATAATGGACACCGCTGATTTTCAGACGCCTATCTCAACGGAATCCGGCAATGATAAAGGCAATGAGCACGCGCTGTGAGAACTACGAAGAAAGGGGTCGTTTTTTCAAAGATAACCTTCATTCACATTCTTAAAAAACAAACAGTCACTGGCAGCGCCGTTCGTGTTTTGTGTAACGATCGAGTATAGTACATATAATGATTACAATAGAGCATGCGCACATTGTCGTAATAAGTGACAACCTCTGGTAATAAATATGAAATTAGGCAAAGAATCGCATCGTGTAATGTCAAGGTGTAATATTTCGTAATATACCTGCGGGGGAAATATCAAGTAATCTAGACTGTCGTCTGTGGACAAACCTACAACGCGACCGATTATATTCACACACCGCCACAATTATTAAATATGTATGGCGCCAACAGACCGGCGAGGATGACGCAACGTCATCAACTTACCCCGTGACGCAGAGACCAGCATCAAGATGGCAACACACAAACGACACCGGTGAAGACATAGGAGGAGCGACATGATTTCTATCGGAGATCTGTTTTTTTCAGTCTGTAAGTGAACAAGAACAATTTTAAAGAGCAGTCTCGAAATATGTATTTTTCTCGATCGATTGCAGACTGAATACATTTATGGGCTTCCAACGATAGTTATCTTCTTCTAAAAACTCAAATGCTGGCTCACGTGCACACATACATTCCAGATCCGAATTGAATTGATGTCATTAACATTTCTCACGGAAGCCGTGTTGAATAACTGTATTGAGTAACGATGGATCAATTCAATTCAAAATGGAATCGATAACATTCCCAGTCAAGCAAAATGCCAGGTACAATTTTCGTCGGTAGTAAAACGTACAATTCATTGGCGAATTCATTAGTTCGTGTTAAAGGAATGCATCATAACACTTTATTATTGTTAGTGGACTGTCGTATTTGACGTACGTCACATCCGCCCGAATGATTTGCAAAACGGAAATAAAAGACGTGATTGGTCACCGAATTCGTTATGTTAACTACATGTATTCCCATTACCACTCTTTTATTGCGTACGTAAATAATACATACTCTTCGTATAAGAAAACATTGGGTGGGCTCGCACACCATTTGTTTATGGTGCCTTGAATCGAAGAGTGGACAACAAATGCGAGTGAGTGCGATGTATCAACATCAGCAAAGAGACTATTCGATGGTAAATAGCAACAACTCATCTGTTAAGTGCACTGTATAGTGATAACCTCGGGCCATGTAAGATATATAGAGGATATATCAATAGCGAGTCTACAGTCTCACATTTAATAAACGAGTGTAGTATTTCATTTGTTCAGAGTTGGCGGGTTTAATAAATCTGATATTATATGTACATTGATATTGTTCGTACATAGCACCCAATATTACGCATACGCCTTAAGCATTATAGTTATGATTTGTTGTGATCTGGTTTGTTTTAATGCAACTGATACTATGATCGGTTTGATCTGCTTTATACTAGTATACGCTACGCACACATTCATTGGACATTCAACCGATTTAATTCAATTTCAACTAGATGTTTAACATACCCTATGGATATAATTGCTTACACTGAATAAATGTATAGCCAACATAGATAGGTAATTACCGTAAATAAATGTACTGTAACAGAATGTGAGCCATAAACACCAAGTATATTAACACATATAGTTTTTTTTATCGGAGTCCGAAAATGGTTGTGCTTTCCTATTTCAGTTGCAATTTTAGTATAAATAAGAATATTGTTGTATACGTACTTGATTGTCAGTTGTTCGACACCAACGATTAGGCTCTACGGTTGATTTGAAGCATATATACAAGAAAGAATTTGATGCGTCAAAGAAATATTGTCAACAATCAAGCTGCTCTCTGATTGGTCTGACCTTTACATGTTAGATATAGGCAACCAATCAGACTCACACAGTCTTAAAGTAGCTTTATGCGATAACTAAACATATTCATAATGTAGACAAACTGTTCAATATGCAACTTTGATCAATTTGCTGATGTTCGTGTTAAAGCGGTGATAGATATGTTGATTTATACATTGGCACGTTATTTAATGTTTCTCTTAACAATTATTTTTCTACTTTGCACTAAATTCAAATATGTCATCTGAACGTCGTTGCGGCCACTGTGGAAGACAGGTTCAAGATAGAAATTGCGCGCAGAGCGTCTCGCGCTGTTGTCTAACGAGAAAGATTTTCACTCTTTACTTTTTGCTTTCAATTGCGTGCAAGTGTAAACAAGACTAAGAAACTTCTCGCAAATCTTTACAAATGTATTGATGCTAGCAAAGAAAATATGCCGGGGGTTTCAATGTTGACCCCAATAACACATACACTTACCACAATGTCAAAACATGTTTGCAGAATTAATGGCAATGACGGATGTAGGATTTTAGTTAGAGGCGCACATTTACAATGACGTCATTGCCGCATTATACAGTGTAAGATACGTCTGTATGAGTGACGACAGTTTCACTGGAATCACGTTTTCTCTGAATCAGCTACTGTATAGAATAACAGTAAACACGAAGGTGTAGTTGCTACGTACAACGGGAAGTAGTTGCGTTTGAGCAATTTATTGTCACGAATCCAAATATTACAAAACTACATTCTCGTCACAATGCTTTTTGTACAATGTTCATTTTAATATCAGTATTGTACAATGTACCACATAATCAATTTCGTCTACCCTTCTTTACAATAACAATTTATTCAATACTGTGAATAATCGTCGTTAGCATAGTTACGTAACATACATGAAGCCAGATAAGGTTACCGACACGAATTTGTAATACAGAATATTCGTAATCACAATTCCTATTCATATAGAATTGCAAATTGTCGGTCCAG